TATATATTTGATCTACACCGTTTTGGAAGCTTTACATTTTACAATAGCTGGCTTAGCTATTGTCGTGCGTCCCTTTAATCATCAAACGACCATCTCTATGATGGACGTTACTAAAAAGCCAAAATGGATGGTGGAGAATAAAATTTTAAAATATTAATTTTTATTTTGAGAAAATATTTGTTTATCATTTATTTTTAACTTTCATATCTCATGAGACCCAAAAATTGAAAATATTACTTATAAGCCAAAGGCTTTAATCGTTTATACCTATTTGACCATAAATTTTTTATCCAAACAAACACTAAAATGACATTCTGTTCAAACTCCATATCTCTCCCTGTAAAACTCTCTCTCTTTTCGCTTCTTGGCGAGTTTACCAGTCAAGGGGTTTAGCTCGAGCTCGAACACGAGTACATCTTCTTATGTGTACGAGAGAGATGGAGCTCTAGAGAGAGAGAGATAGAGAGAGATGGAATTTGAGTTTTAGAGAGAGATGGAGTTTTAGAGAGAAAGAGGTGAAGTTTGAGTTTTAGGAAGATAGAGGGCGTTTTGAGAGAGAGAGAGATGAAGTTTGGGTTTTAGAGAGAGATGGAGTTTTGAGAGAAAGAGACGAAGATATAAGAGAGATAGAGTTTTAGTGAGAGAAAGAGAGATAGAGTCATTTCATAAGTTGTTAAGATCAATAATACATGGTCAAAAGGGTTTAGGGGGTTGGAAAATAGAAAAGATGAAGTCCTTTTGATTACAAGTAATATTTTAAATTCTTGAATCTAATGAAATATAAAAGTTACAAATATAGAATAATAGGATATTTTCTAATTTGTTTTTAGATTGGTGATAATGCTCACCGTTGAGATTAACAAACCCTAAAATTTTAGATCTAAAAATCTCTGTCAACGACGAATTTTGTATGGTGAGTCGCCTGACTCACCACGTACTTTTCCTTCGTAAAACTATTTCAAATTTGATTATTACCATTTTTTCATTGAGAAAGTATTCATATAACGTGGGCAATGGTTTTGACTCACCTAACCTATCTCTTGCATTACTCTCTTAGATTTTGAATGCATGCCTTTGAAAGTAGAAACTTAAAATGATCCGTTTCTATGCGGCTAAGTCCACATATGTAGAAATGCAGGCCTCCTAATAAATTTATTTTTGAGATGGATTTTAGGATTCAATTTTTAATAACATGTAATCTCTAACATGAAGATCATGAATATATATTAAAAACAAAATTAAAAATTAGAAATAACACTTCTAGTAAAAAAACATTTGAACCGTTTATTTATATTGCTTTTAGATGGAACACCTACTTGCATCCATATTTAAGATGGATGCTTTACACTTTTTGGACCGCATATGTAGAAATGCGATCAAGCTCGCGTGAAACAATTTTCCAACTTAAAATAGTTTGGTTAGACTTTTAAGCAAGCCGAACCGGCTCAGGTTGATAACTGAGTTTCAACGCTTGTGAATCTTTTATATTATTATTATTTTATATTTCATTTTTACCATTTTTTGACATGTTGCGGCGGATTTAGCAAAGGAAAAATATCCGATCCACATGATGTGAATGGGTGAAAGGATGCACAAGCATCCTCGGTTGAGATTTCATAAGGCTCATCGGTTGAGATTTCATTAGGTCAAATCCCAAATCCAACGACCAATAATTAGGCTTGTATTTTTTTTATTTAAACAATATATTTATTTGAATTTCAGGGTGTAGGTGTATTTTTATAAATCATTATCATCATCAAAACCTTATCCCAACTAATTGAGGTCGGCTACATGAATCCTGTTCCGTCATTCTGCTCTATCAATGGCCATATTTTTTGTAATATACCATAAGTCCTTATATCTTTACTTACTTCTTTCCTCTATATTCTTTTGGGCCATCCTCTTGATCTTTTAGAGCTGTCAACTTGAACAAAATCGTACTTCCTAACCGATGATTAAATGAGTATGCGTTGTACATAGCCAACCCACCTAAGTAAATATCTCAATGAGACCTCTATTTTTGTTGAACAAAATCGTACTACATGACGTATGAACTTTATTTTCGTTGTTGGTGATCGATTTTCCAAAATGGCACATTTTATTCTTTGTAGGAGAACTATGGATGGTACACATATTATCAATCTCTTTTTCAAAGATATTGTGAGGCAATATGGTGTTCCTAAGTCTATTACATCTGATCGGAATACAAAGTTCTTAAGTCACTTTTGGCACTTTGTGAAAGCGTCTGGGAACTAAACTTCAATTTTTTAGCACTTATCATCCTTAAAAAGATGAGCAAATCAAAGTAGTGAATATGAGCCTTGGCAATCTCTTGAGGAGTATGTTGGTGACAACATATCTCAATGGGACCTCACTTTGCCCAAGGCTGAGTTTGTTTACAACAGTTCAATGAATCGGTTCACAGGAAAATTACTATATGGGATTGTTTTTTTTTTTTGACCTAAATTATCAATTTTTTTTGCCAAATAAAAACCAGAATTACATCATTCAGGAATTACATTATGTAGAATAGACACAGACTCAATCGAAACACCTCTCTTGGCTAAACCATCAGTAATACCATTGGACTCCCTAAACACATGATGGAACGATATCGACAACACCCCTGCCAAATCCATCACTTGACCCCAAATTGACCGAAGCATCCAAAGAACTCTTTGTTCCTTGTTACACCATCTTATAACATTTAAAGAATCACCTTCCACCGTGATGAAGTTACCCCAGTTCATAGATTTAATGAACAATAGTCCTCTGAGCAACGTTGTGAACTCCGCGAGATTAGCAGTTGCATTTCCAATAGGTCCAGCATAAGCGAGAATAATTGTTCATGTCCTGTCTCTCACTACTCCTTCAATACTAGCTTCTCTCAGATTACCGAGAGAACTACCATCAAAGTTTAACTTTAAGCACCCTTGAATAGGAGGTAACCATCGATCAACATGTCTTGTCCTTACCACATTAGAGAAAACAAAGTTTATTAAGTTTAAATGCACATCAATCTCAGGATACCCCTACCTTCATTAGTGACAAAAAGCCAAGTCTAAGTGGTATGAAATATACGCTGAAGGAGACAATCACAGGAGAGGGCAGACCCGTCAAAGGTGTGTCGATTACGCTCTTTCCATATCTCCAATTTGCCACAAAATGGATCCCAACTTTGGTAAGGTGGGAAACACCAGTTGTGAAATGATGCCCAGCATATCCTGAGGTGAAGCCACCTTGAATCCTAATACATGAAAAAAGAATTCCCAAAATTTTGAAGCGTAGCGGTAATGAACAAGAAGATGTGAAACAAATTCACCATCTTCTTTATACATCAAGCACACATTGGGCAGAATCTTATATCTCTTGATGAGATTATCTATGGTCAAAACCTTATTTTACCGAGCCAACCAAATAAAGCACTGGACTTTATGAGGTACAAGCCACTTCCATACTTGTGCAATTTGAGGCAACGACCATCTATGGCGATCATGGAACAAAGAGAATACATTGCTTTTATCGAGAATAATCCATCATGTTTATGCTCCCATACCATCTCATCCTCAATACTACACGAAAACACAACTTCTTGCAATTGCGATAACAATAATGTAAATTGCACCATAATGTTTTCATGAACTCGGCTATATGGAAACTGAATATTCCATACCACTTGCTCCCCTACTAACTGGTAGGTTTCACTTATCAAAGCATTAGGATTAGAAACTTTAGTATATAAATCAGGGAAGGAAATCTTCAATGGATAGTTACTTAACCATGCCAAAAGGAAACTTGAGATCCAGTCCCCATACACCATCAGATATCTCTGTGGAGATCTGCTTTACATAAAAAAGATGTCTCTCCAAAAAACCGACCTTGGTGCACTTCTTTTGCCCCCTCCAATCTTGACTCCAAAGCCATCGATACTATATTTCGTTATAAGTACCTTATACCACAACCAATCTTTAAAAAACAAACTACACCACCAGTACTTAGTTAATAAAGCATCATTCATCGACAGACTCCTAATCATGTGCTGGACCTAGTTCTATTATCCCTACCAAACAAGATAAGTGATGATGCCAATGCTTTTATTTGTATATATGAGATTTGTAAGCTCAAATTAAGAGGAAAATTGATAAAAGCAATTGCAAAGCATTGAAAAGCCTTAAGTGAGCATAAAAGAGAGAAGATTTTCAAGAAAGATGACTTAATAATGGTGTATTTGCGAAATGAGAGGTTTCTATTGGGGAGCTATATTAAGCTTAAGTACAAGAAGGTGAGCCCTTGCCACATTTTGAAGAAATATGGAAACAATACAAATGAGGTAGAATTGGCATTGTATATCTCCCCGATATTTAATGTTGTTGACTTAATTTGAATTTTATGGAGACTCTTTAGAAGCTCAAGACGAAGTAGTTGATATGATGAAGCAATTACCGAAAAAGAAAGGCAAAGAAATTGGGCAAGTTTTAAATGCTGAAAGCTTTCAAACTCGAAAAAAGTTCCTATCACTAAATATCTATTCAAATAGAAGGGCATGCAGTACTTTGGTAGCACATGAATTTTTAAGCAAGAGCTGAAAAGGGTGTATCCAGATTTATACCGTGTCTATATTGAAACCAACTCGTCGGACCCAGCCAATAGTATGTTGCTAGGCCAAGAAGGGTCATAAGACTTAAGGGAAAAAAAAAAAAGGCAATAGTGTAATAAGGGGAACTATTTGGGTTTATTTTTTTATTTCAATTATCATTTAGTCAATTATTTTTAAGTCAATAATGGTGGTTATGATTAAATAGGATGGATGATGAAGATTTTGTAGGAACTTTTTTTATGGTCATAACTTATTTAAGTAATTATTATTGAAGGGTTATAAGGAATTAGAAATTGTTATTATTATTATTTTTTGCATAGAATTAACTGGAGGAGGTAGATTTTCTTTGTTTCGTTATTTTCTCTTTAAGGCTTATTATCTATTGAGCTCTCTCTTAAGGAGTTAATCTGGGAAGAATCAAACCTAATTTGCACGAGATTGTCTACCAGGACCATTTATCTTTGTAGACAATCTCTTAAAAGCAGCCATCACTCTTTCGTATTTTCAGTCAAAACTAGAGAATAGGTTTTCGTTTTAACTTCAAAGCTTCGTTACCATTTCAATGGCGTCTGAGCCCTCTCCAGAAACCCTTACTTCTTACTTGAAACTCTCTGATACAGACGACAATGGCTCCTCTCATGGCGATTCTTTGGAGAAAAACCCGGAAGAACCTCCAAAGAACATAAGCAAGAAAGCAGCAAAGAAAGAAGCCATGAAAGCTGAGAAGTTGAAGAAACAGCAACAAATGGCAGCCTCTGCTGCTCAAATTGATGAATTAGACCCTTTGGCTTCGAATTACGGTGATATTCCCTTGAAGGAGCTTCAATCAAAGGATATCAGTGGCCGAGTATGGACCGAAGTGAAGTCCTTATCAGAAGAATTGAAGGATACCGAGGTTTTGATCCGAGGCCAGGCTCAAACCATTCGAGCCGTGAGCAAAAACATGGCTTTCATTGTACTGAGAGAGAGGGGGTTCACTGTGCAATGCGTTTTCACTATTGCTCCAGGGTTTGTCAGTAAACAGATGGTTAAATTTGTCACTGGTTTGAGCAGGGAATCATATATTGATGTTTATGGGGTGGTCTCAGTTCCTGGAGTGGCAATTAAAGGCAGCTCTCAACAGGTAAATAATATGAAATATCTCCCCCTTTTTCGATCAATTATCATCTTACACGGATTGGATTGCTCTATTTTACTTATTTATTTGTATTTTTCTGGTTTAAATTGTATTAAGGTTGTTGAATTTGAGCTTGATTCCTGTAGGAATCATCGGATTGTTGAATCTGGACACTCTTTGGTTAATTTGTAGTTTTTTCTTTTTATGGTTCTAGCTACATGTGGACTGAATTAATAGAATCCATACGTCCAATGATTATATGTATTTGAGATTCATGTTTAGGTAGGCCTATGCAGCTTAAATTTGGAATAAATTAGCAAAATTAGCAAGCATTTGGAAGCTAATTGCTGTCAATACTGTCAATGTAACTTGAACCTCGCTTTCATCTCACTTGCTCTAGTACTGCCAAAATAGTGCCTGAATAAGAGGCCATCTCCCAACCAATGCCATCTCACACAAACTCTCTTGTAACACATTTATACTGGAAAATTAGAAGTTCTCGATTAACTAATATGGCTTCATGGAGACTAGAATTTTCTCGGCTCTATACCACATGATACCACATCAATAAAAATCTTCTACTGCAGTCGATGAAATGCATTTGCGTCATCAATTTGTTTAGGCTGTGATTTAGACCACATACAATCCAGATTTAGTGTCTTCAGGCAGTTTTAGTCATTGATAAATTCAGGAAATACACATTCAGACATTCATTGTACATACTTTCAATTATATATCTAGGTGCTTCAGTATATTTTATACCATATAGGGTTTGAAATCATGTGGTTTGTAAGCTTTATGTAGTCTTTTGCATAATGTTTTTGTTAAGTTTTATTTTGTCGTTTGCATAATATATTGCTATATGGTATGCTTCCTCTTGCAGTTTGCGCTTTTTACCCATTTGAGTGATTTTTCTTTCAAATAAGTGTGGTGCATTAGTATAAATGGGAACACAGTTTTAAAGCACAGCTCAGTCAACTCAAAGTTGGCTGAGTTACTCGAACATGGCTCCTTGCTGAGCGAGTTCCTAGGCATAAACACTGGCTATATAAAAATAAATAAAATAAAAACCATAACTTTTTATTTTTACTGAATCAATGTGTAGATATTTTTATATCTCATTTTGGTGTTTTTGATGATGATTTGTGAGTTTTTCTTGTCATATGCTATATTTCCTAGTTTCCCATTTTTTTTTTTCTGAATCGTTTCCAGCTATAAATCAAGTGTTTCCAAATTCCATATTTTATCTATTTTTTCCATTTTTTGGACGTCTAATTTTTGATATTTTTGGTTTTTATTTTATTTATCTTTAACATTTTTTCAAAGTCTAGCTCTTTTTGGGCCTTGTACACTAGGAAAATCCACTCAGACTCACCCGAGTTACTCAGCTTGGACAAGGTTCGAGTCTTGAGACTGAAACCAGTAACTGAACCATGATTGGGAATCTTGGGATTTTGGAGAAATTATCAAGCTGTTGAGTGTGTGTTTATGTATCATGTAGTTTGCTCGTATCAAAGACTGTTTATATGATTGCATGTGGCTGGGCATGTATATTATGTGATATTCTTGTATTTCCTATTTTCATGTAATTTATGAATGCTAATTTAGTGAGAGATACTTGCCCATAACTTTCTTGTTTGAATATTTTGGTAGTTTTACTTTGACTAGTCACTTAAGTTTCTCAATCTATTTATTGATGCTTTCCCATTTCGCTTAAACAATCTTTATTTCTGTTCTGGTCAGACTCCTTTGGAGATTATCATCCTCTTTGCTTTTCTGCATGATTCATCTTCCATTTCTTGCAGGTGGAAGTTCAAGGAAGAAAAATATTCTGTATTAATAGGGCTATTCCAACTTTACCCTTTAATCTTGAGGATGCAGCTCGCAGTGAAGCTGAATTCATAAAAGCAGAGCAGGTAAGATTTGATGTTTACAGAGGAAATATGTTCTAAACGTCTATTGTTCAAGGATTCTAGTTACTACATTTTCAATCTCCTGCATTTTATATAGTTGGAAGGAGTACGCATTGTTTGTTAGGAAAATTGTAATCTTAAATAGCTCATAAGATAGGAAAATTTCAAGGATATTGTGACCACTAACCAATTCAAAAACTATCATGCTAGGAAATTAGTTGGTTAGATTTTACACAATCTTTATCATGTTCATAAACGATGGATTAACTTAATATGCTAAATATTGCAATGCTGTGCATCAACATTCTTTCTATGGCATGGATGGTCCTTTCTAACACCTTCTTTCTTTTCTTCATTGTAATCAGTTCTTCCTTTTCGTAACTAAACTGATTGTCCTTAAATATGCAGACTGGAGAACAGCTTGTCCGTGTCGGTCAAGACACTCGTTTGAACAACAGAGTACTTGACATGCGCACTCCTGCCAATCAAGGGATTTTTCGCATTCAATATCAAGTTTGCAATGTAAGTGTGTGGGTTACAGTGCATGGAAATGCTCCATTGGGATTTTGGAGTTGTTAGAGTTGTAGACATGCATGTTACTTATGTTCTGAATTCATCTAGAATGATGACCACCCTTGTGGATATTCCATTTCTTTAAACACTGTTGATGGGATTAACTATCTCGGTTGAAATACATTGGCAAATAACTTGGAGATTGAGATGTACAGTCCTGTTCTGGAGCTAATTCCTATTGTTTGCAGTGAATGCATGTTATTCATGTTGTGTTTCTTTTATTTTTGCCTTATTATCCTTTTGCTGCCATGTCCATACTAAATATGTCATTTCTGATTCAATGGTTAACATTTCATGTGAGTCCATTTTTCAATTTTTTATATTGTGAATTTGTTATAACCTTGTTTATTGTTTTGAACACAGCTATTTAGAATGTTCTTGTCATCAGAAGATTTCGTTGAGATCCATACTCCAAAGTTGATCGCGGGTGCAAGTGAAGGAGGTTCAGCTGTTTTTAAACTGGACTACAAAGGTCAACCTGCTTGCCTAGCACAATCCCCACAACTACACAAGCAAATGGCAATTTGTGGTAATTTTGGCCGTGTTTTCGAGGTTGGCCATGTTTTTAGGGCAGAAGACTCTTTCACTCATAGGCACCTATGTGAATTTACGGGCCTTGATGTGGAAATGGAAATTAAGGAGCACTATTTTGAGGTACTTGAACTTATGAGCCTGTTTTCTTCTTTTGGAATATATGCTATTAGTAAATAAACTGCGCAGCAACATCTGCTTTGGTGATTTCTGATGTACCTTGGATCTTAGCTAGGAACACTAGGAATTAAAAAATTGCTGTGTTTATACAGGTATTGGACATTGTGGACAGATTATTTGTGTATATTTTCGATGAATTGAATCAGAAGTGCAAAAAGGAGCTCGAAGCTGTAAATAAGCAATATCCATTTGAACCTTTGAAGGTGGGTTCTCGTTTTCGAGTCTAAATATGTTATTTTAGTATTTTTCAGGCATTAAATAACTATTTTTCATTTTCAGATGCCAATGTTTATTTGTTTTCCTAATCCCTTTTTTTGTCCTTGTATTTTTTCCGAGACTATTTGCTATCTGCTAAGAAACCCACGCAAATCTTCAAGATTAAAGGAAATGTATACTTGCTCAAACAATGAAATCAAAACTATTTCTAAACAGTCCTGCTCATTGAGAACAAGGGGGATCAACTTTTCTTAAGCTTATTCATTTTTATCATTAGTGTGGGTTGATATATTCCCGTCCTGTGCTCTCTCAGTAGCACTTTTCAATACTGGCTCTAGTTTCATTGTTTCCTCTTTAAGCATTTGCATTTGTGCTATTTTATGATTTTCAACTTCCAGTTAGTGATAATTTGCATTGGGCTTGTTCAGTACCTGTGGAAAACTTTGCTACTTACTTTCAAAGAGGGGATTGAAATGCTCAAGGTATTTCATTTTTTTGAGAAAAGCTCAAGTTAATTCAACCTGTTAAAAAGATTCCATTGGCCACTTTGACTTACGGCATAATGTTGAAACCCATGCTGTAGGAAGCTGGCATTGATGCAGATCCCTTAGGTGATCTAAATACAGAAACAGAGAGAAAATTGGGTCAGCTTGTTCGGGAGAAGTAAGTTGACATGTCTTTTTCTTTTTTCTAATTTTCCTTTCCCTGTTTCTTCTTGAATCTGTAGTATGGTGCTGATTATCATGTTGTATGTACTGATGCTAGGTATGACACTGACTTCTATATTCTTCACCGCTATCCTCTCGCTGTGCGACCCTTCTACACCATGCCATGTTATGATGATGATTTGTACAGTAACTCATTCGATGTATTCATTCGTGGTAAGAAAATCTAGTGTCAGGGTATTTATTATTCACATTCGCTTGGGTGAACTTTGTTGATGATATGTTTTCTTCTTATAATTAGCTTTCAACTTCTATTCATGATTAAGGTGTAAGGATACTCTATTTTTGTTAATGTTAAATTAGGGGGAGGTTCTCCTTGAGCGCTTACTAAACCCTGTCAATTAGAACCCAACAAGTAAATGAGATACGCCAGAGAATAAGGAAGAACCATTGCCTAAGAATCTTGAACTGAAACACAGTTTCCTACATAATTCCTGGCTGGTGCTAAGTAATATCTTGGAATTTCAAGAGGTATGAACCAATCTTATTAAAAAGCAGGCAGAAGCAAGGATTTGATCTAGTCTTTGTTGAACTGGACCTTAGTCTAGTTTAGCTAGGTTTTGAAGGCACTGATAAGTTCTCATTTGACTCGACTAAGGTCCTATTCTCTCTGAACCGTGTCTACTGATCTGCTCTTTTTACTTCAGTGTTTTCTTTGAAAGGAGAAGATCAGAGTTGTACTTCTGATCTATCCTTTTTTAGAGAACATGGGCATCACCAACTACCCTTACTGGTATGATGCTGTTGAATGTTGGTCTACTTATGGATTGTCTTTTGCTGATTTATTGCTATTGATTTCAAGAGCAATGGACTAGTGTTATTAGAACTGAACTGTACTGGCTTGTTCAATAGAGTGTGGTCGAATCAGACCCCATTTTGAGATAATTTTTTCCACCTTGATTTGTCATTACCGAGGTCTCATTTTACTTTAATCGTGTGTGCTGAACCAATGAAAGATTTCAAATTGTTCCTGGAGGAAGTTAGATATGGTTCTGTATTGACTGGAAAATTTGAAAGCACTGCTCTTTTTCCTTCTTTTCATCCTTTTATGTAGTTTTATCTAAGAAAAGTATATGCATTTTTTTCCCTATATCCAGGTGAAGAAATAATTTCAGGAGCTCAGCGTGTTCATGATGCAGAGTTCTTGAGCAATCGAGCACAGGCATTGGGAATTGATTTGAAGACGATATCTACTTATGTCGATAGCTTCCGGTGAGATAACATGACATTCCCTTTTTTTCTTGTGTCAAAACTAGTCTCACTGTCACCAATGCAACAGCAATACCTTGTGTACATAGAAATTTCTTATACGATTGCAAACACCACCAACGCCAACTTCTCACACAGCCCAAATGCTTTAAACACTTGTGTTTGAACATGTGATAATGTGTTCTTTCTCTCTCACTTTCTCTTACACGCACACACACATACACAAAACACACACACAAAATGTAAAGCGATTTTCCGGATTTGGGTGCAGGTATGGGGCGCCTACACACGGCGGGTTTGGTGTTGGCTTAGAGCGTGTAGTGATGCTTTTCTGTGGCCTTAACAACATTCGCAAAACGTCTCTTTTCCCTCGTGACCCTCAAAGGCTTGCTCCATGATACCATATTCTTGTTTGTAGCTGTTTATGTTTTTAAATATTCCAGTCTTTGTTGGTTTTAAGGATAATATCAATTCTTCGACTTTATATTAACAGTTCTAATTTCATATTATGTGGCCTCGTTTTTCCTCTCTTACCTTCTCAATCAAGAAATTGGTTATTGAGAACATCATGTATGTGCATGTTTTGTCATTTCTCTTTACTGTGTTGGCTTAATTGCTCTTTTCTAATAAAATATTTTAGGAAGAGACGAAGAGTTTAGTTGTGGTAAGAAATAATTTATGTTTTTAAATATTCCAGTCTTTGTTGGTTTTAACGATAATATCAATTCTTCACCATTATATTAACAGTTCTTATTTCATATTATGTGGCCTCGTTTTTCCTCTCTTACCCTCTTAATCAAGAAATTGGTTATTGAGAACATCATGTGTGTGCATGTTTTGTCAGTTCTCTTTACTGGGTTGGCTTCATTGCTCTTTTCTTTTCTAATAAAATATTTTAGGAAGACACGAAGAGTTTAGTTGTGATAAGAAATAATTTAAGAGGAGTTTAGTAGGTTTCTATGCGGCCAAGCCCGTAGAAATACAAGCCTCTTAATAAATTTATTTTTGAGATGGATTTTAAGATTTAATTTTTAAGGACATGTAATCTTTAACATGGAGATCACGAATATGAATAAATAAATAAATTTTAAATACTAAAAATAATAATTCCAGTAAGAAAACATTTGGACTGTTAGTTTCCATTGTATTTAGATGGAACACCTACTTGCATCCATCTTTAAGATGGATGCTCTACAGTTTCTGGACCGCATGTGTAGAAATGCGGTCCAGCCTGAATTTTCCTTTTCATAATAATGAAATGAAATTTCTGTGTTGAATGGTTTGATAAACGTTTCCGGACTGGATTTTGATACCATAACAAATGTTTTCTTTTTGGTGACTTCAGTGATAGTTTCTAACATTTGTTCCTTCCTGTTTACGATGTCTGAATTAAAGAAAATTTGTTCCTTCCTGTTCTTTTTCAAAACAGCATTGAAGTGTGCATCCTTGCAATATTAATAAGGGAAATTTATCAAAATACACTTAAAAGTTGCACTGTAACATTTATTATACGAGTAATTTGTGAAGTGTATATTGATGTGTACTTTGGCGAGCTATTCGAAGTTTGCTCAGGGAATGATGGGTTATTTCATATTAGATTAAAATATATGGGTAAAAGGTTAAATAGTTCAAATCAATCATTGGCAGTCTGGCTTCCGGGCCGCATTTCATGGGCCAAGCCTTTATATCAGTGTTTGCAAAATCGAACCGTAATGGTTAACCGGTAAATTGGTTGATTCAACCGTTCTAACCGGGTAAATTTCGGGTGGTAAAAAAAGTGTTGAAAAAAATAAAAATAAAAAATAAAAAAATTAATAAAATATCAAAAACATATAAAGAATGATTAAAACAAAACGTATTCGAATGAAGTTGAAAATTAATGAAAATAATGGATTTTAATTTAATTTATATTTTTTAAGGGCTATTTTTAAAAATTTATAAAAAAAATAAAAAAATATAAAAGTGAGTATTAATAACCAAATTTTTTTGTAATCTTTACTATAATGTAAAGAATATCTAAAAATGCATTACAAGTCAAATTTTTTATTTTTGAGAATTTATATATACTTGTTTTAAATTTTTTTTTTTAAATACCCGTTGATCACCCTAACCGTCCAAAATTGGAACTGGCCATTGGCCGATTTTGATCTAACCGAACGGTCAGCGGTTAGATCGGACGATTTTGCGAACAATGCCTAGTATTTAGGGCCAGGTTGGGCCACTCGACCCATTGCCATTGCCACCCTTAGTACATGTGGTCTCACGTATGCAATATGTCTTTTTTTTTTTTGGGTATGCAATATGCCTTGCAGCAATGACAATGGTGAACGGTATATAATTTTAGATGATAATGACTAGGGTTTAGGTGAAACTGGGGATGTGCCTATTGTAATGCATCCCCCTTCCAAAACTATATTGCGGATGGATTTGGGTCCATAGTTCTAGAGAACTCTTATTTCGTGTGCCTTCCAAAATTTATTTTGGCGATGGATTGAGGATTTAAAACATGCAACCTATCGTCTCAACCTCATGAATTCTTATGGGTATTTTGATAAATTTTCTTTTTAATAAAAGAAAAAATTGAGCTTTAAAAATAGTCCATTTGTACCTTTCAAAGAAAACTACTCATTTTAATTTTTCAAAATCAAATATTATCAGCTTTGTATTATTTTTTTGAGCTTTAGATTCCTCGATTTGAAGTAGAGATAGATTTGCATTTATTTAAGATGTGATCTAAACATGGGACAATGTGGTGAATCAAGGGGTGATGAGATAGATTTGCATTTATTTAAGATGTGATCTAAACATGGGACAATGTAGTGAATCAAGGGGTGATGCATTGCGAGATAGTTTAAATAAAAGGTTCAAAAAATGCAAAGGGTAGGCCCAAAAGGACATGATTGGAAGTCGTGAAAAAAGATATTGAGAATTTATGACCTCACTTGATGATATGATCCTTATTAAAGCAGAATGGATCAAGATTCATGTAGCTGATCCAAAATAGTTGGAAAAATGTTTTTACAATGATGAGTTTGGTTAATCAAGGGATGATCCATTTTTAAAAAAATTTCACCACAAATTTTTTACGATTTATTTATTTATTATATTTACAATCCTCATAATTTATATTATCAATCCTTAAAAATTTGGGTCCAAAATCCTTTTTTATGATGGATATTGGAGAGGGACGCACACAAATAAGTCAATAGGTGAGTGAGGTTACTCACAAGAACTAGGTCCTTTAATATTGAAATCCCAAAGAACCATGGCTAACTCATGAGCATTCTAATGTAATTAGGCATTGTTTATAGAGAGATCACTTATCTTTTGCACATAGAAGTCACAATCATTATTGTCTCTTAAATTTCAAAATGGGTGTTATACGAGTGTCATTGAATAGACACAAAGTTTAAAAAAAATAATATAAGACTTCTTGACTCACCCCAAACCATCAAATTTGACATCTAATGAGTGAGACTGATTGCGATATCTATGTACAAAAGATAAATAGTCTATTTGTAGACATTCCCATATAATTAATACAAACTATGAAAGCCCCGCAAACTTTTCCTAATATGAATGACACAAATTAGGCAATGATTGCATAATGGGTAACATAAAGACGCCATTGTTTTGTTTGAGTTTAACACCTAAAAGAAAAGTATACAAAGAGGCCATTATTTTTAGCACAAGGAGGTTAGGTTTAATTTTGTCCGTCACATTTCAAATTAAATGCTTGTAAGTGTGTCTTTGACTAGAATTAGAGTTTAACTGTTTTGTTGAACTTAGTGACTCCACTCCAAGCCATCCAATTTGATATCTAATGATTAGGAGTAAATATGACTTTTTTATAATAAAAATAAATTATCATAGTATACAATCACTTGGATAAAAAGATGAGGAATGGGAAATCTATAGCAATATGTTTTAATTTATTAATTATTTTATATTTTATCATTTTGCAATTATTCCATCTCATGATGATGTGTAATTTGATGGGCTTTTAAAAATTAAATAAAAATGCGAGAAATTTTTTCTTATCCCCCCCTAAATCTCTCACAAGTTTTGTATTTTACGTTTATGCCCCTTTTTTCTTCCTCTTTTGATCTTTACCCAAAAATACCCTTACTTAGGGAAGTCCAAGTCAAACTTTCACATCTATTTTCGGATTCTAAAGTTTTTCAAAGTCAAGTAAATTAAGTCAATTTTTTTTTTACTTTGAATCTTCATGTCCAAAATCAACACTTAATGAAAAATTTTAATCTTTAGCTTTGGATTTTCAAGGTTCGAACTTTTTGACTTAAAATTTTAAAGATCCAAAATTAAAAACATTGTTACCACTTTAGACTTTGTCCATCAGAATAAACGATATAATATGAAATAAATAATTCATATAATGATATATATATTGGGAGCTATGAGCCTTTGTTCCTAAAAATACATATGATAGATGTGAAATACTAAATTCTTCTCTTCCCCAACGTGCTTGGATGTGAAGATAAAGAAAATAAGATGGTGGCATACGTGTTTATACATTACTTTTTTTTTTTGTGGGATTGTATGCTATGAGACCATTAGATTTAAAATTAGATGTAATTGTATGTGCTTTTAATTAGATGTACAATTAAAGTAATTGTAATCTTTGTTTCACGGATGTTACAATTACTGCTAATCAGTGTTACAAAATTCGGTGAGTCGAACAGGACTTGCCCGGTTCGACTCAGGAACTGACAATCCCGTGTTGGTTCCAGTAATACACGGAGAATCACCTGTGTCTAGAGAGAACCGAGCAATTTCGAACATTGAACCACCCGAGTCATTATACCAGACACTGATGAAACAATAAAAGCATTTTGAATCATCAAAATTTTGAGTTTTTTTTTATCATTTTTTTTGCTTTTGCAGGTTTGATTCAAATATTACAGCTTTTATCTTTAACTTTTCAGCCTTATTGTTTAATATATTGGAGCTGAAAGCTTCAATTTAGATTACAAATCATCATATTTGTAAAGAACAAGGGTTTTTTTTTTAGGTTTCCGCCTTTTCTTTGATTTCAAACAAAATAGAGCATTATTTTTTATAAAATCAGATGGTTATTAATCTTGAGAGTGTTATTGAGAAGAACTATTCAGAATTTACGATTATTTTGGACGATTACAAGTCAGATTTGGGTTTGAAGCCATGGTTGCAGAAAAACAGGTAAAAACTTCGATTTTCCGACATTTAATCGATTTTTATCAAGTTTTAGCAAATAATTTGTTCATATTACAGGGTTTTGATTCTATATAGTGTTATTATCGTAAAATGTATCCAATTTGATCTAATGTGTTCAATTTGAGGTGTAATTTTGAGTTCGAATCACTGTTATTAGGTTGGCTCTGAGCTTTTTTTTTCTTTTCTTTTTTTCTGCCATTCGGTGGATTATCGAAGAAATAGATCACTTTTTTTATGAAATTAGAGGCTAATTACTTGTGATTGTGTTGTTTAACAAAAATTGTACACCTTTTTTGTTGATTTTGATCGATTACAAGTGAAATTTTGATTGGAAGATTCGGTTTCAGAAAAACATGTATTTTTTGCCATTTAATCGATTTCGATAAGTTTTTAGCAAATTTTGTGCTCATATCATGGGGTTTTA